TATGCAAGTTATTTTAGATTTGCAGAGGAGAGGAAAGGGCTGGGGCAGCTGTGGGAGGAGGAACACATTTCTGGTGATGGAAGTATCATCTGATCCTTTGCTGAAGGGGGAAGATTTTTGGAGGGCTGGTAGAAGTAGGACATATTTCAGATAGTCTGCTAAAAACACAGAATACCCAGCATGCCCAAATCATAAACTACCCTGGCTGCTGACAAGTTTTGTCTTACTGTGTGATTTCCTTGGTTTTAAGTTGAATGAAATTATTTTTTAAAAAGTTAAGTGAAGCTTTAAAAGGAGATTTCTTTAAAAGAAAACTAGAAATAGTAAAGCTTCTGTTAAAGCTTGCATAGTCACCGATTTTCCTGAGGAATGAGTTCAGAATCCATCTGTCTGGTACTGAGAGGGGAATGGCAAAAACATCACGCCCACGCTAAAGAATGAGGAGGAATTTGGACTGACACTTCTAGGACAGCTACATACCATGAACCAGAAGGACATGAAGCAGTAGTTCAAGCCCATGCAAAGAGCATAAACACTTGGAGAACAAAACGTCTATCCCAAACTGCTTTGGAGTCTTCGAGGGAGCTGAGATTGCATTTTGGGGTGAGAGAGAAGGGGGGATGGAAACACAGAATTAAACTACAAGCAACAGGAGTTTTCCTAGATGGCACGATAGACAAGGGGAAAAGACCCTTGGGAGTATCACTGGATGCCTTTTGCTCCTCATGGTATCCACTAGGAAGTTTTAATCAAGCATGTCTGTGTTAATGACATGTCAGGACATACTAGTGCAAGAAGTGGAAGAGTCGTTGGAAGTCATGGGCATAATCCAAATGTTCCAGTGATTTTGAAAACAGAATCTGGAAATTGTTAACTCACACAGAGTCATGAGGCAAAGGCACAACCTGGAACAGGAGGGACTTGTAAGAGTGTTGTACATAATAGGTATATTTGTTAATATAATCTACATGTTGCAGGAGTTTACTCCAATTAATGACTCTGTTCTGAGGATCCACACTTGTGACCTGAGAGCAGGGCTCAAGACAAGTGACAGAGGAAATGAAGGCTCTCCTGTTCCAACTGCCTGACCCCTCACAGCCTGGGAACCAAGGAGACAAGCACTCTTCTGCTGAATGTTTCTGTTGCAGGAGGCAAGTCATGAGTTTCCAATTGCAGAATATTTGTCTGTGTTTTATTCTGTTTACCATCACATTTCTGAGTCTGCAGTATTGACTCAGGCTAAAAGTATGATAGAACGGGGTCTGTGCTTTTGAAATAAAACTTAACTAAAAGAACGAACTCATGGGTTTCTCCTTATTTCTCCTGAGAAGCGTTCAGAGATACATGCAAAGAGAGTGAAGCTGGAACAAGTTTCAGCAAGGGACCTCATCTATTTTTTCCAACCAGGTGATATTGAGCAATATGAATGTTTATGGACGAGCAGGACCAAGCAAGGCAACAGGGTGCTGAGAGCATGAATTAGAGATTATGCTAATGATATTATTAAAAGATCAGGGAAGGGCAAGTTAGTTTATCACTTTTTATTTGTTTGGGTTTTTTTTTCCTCTTCGTATACAGTTTATTGACATTGCTTCTGCTACCTCTTTTGTGGAGGTTGGAAAAGCTGTTCTGCTCACTGCTGAATGGTAGCGCTGCATCAATCTGCTCTATAAGCTCTAAAAACTCATGGATCAATGTGGTTCGGCTATGGGATCAAAGGCAGAGTTTCTGAACTCATCTACAGGAACTTGAGTTGTAATGCACAATGGAGATTCTGCAGACCCAATGATTCCATGAGGCAGAGCTCATGAGTCAGTAGAAGTTTCCTTTTCTGATATAATATGCAAGCTCTAAAACAACTGTCTTTTATTATTTTACTTTTTTTTTTTTCCAAAGGAAAACTATATTTCTATTGCTGATGATGTAATTTCTCTTTTTAAAATACAATTACATGATAAATCTGGTAAATGTTAAGCAGGTCCTCCATGGAACTAAGCAGATTTCTCTCATCTAAGGATTTGGCTTTAAGAATTTTTTTAGCCCATCAATTTCAGCGCAGTTTTACCTGCTAAAAATAGAAATCAAATCTAGCTAACAAGCCTAAAAACTCCCAAATCTCTTTCCCCCAGATGATGTAGCTATTTTAGGTAATGCTTGGTTTATATATACATCACACAAGTTTGTATACAAATGGTGAGATATGCTTCTGCTCCTTGCAAGATCTTGTCTAATCAGTTTTCCATCATTTCCAAATATTGCCCATTTTATGGTTATGAGACTTTTTTTTTTTTAAGTGGAACATTAAAGAAAACAAAGAAAGGGTGTAAAGTAACCAGAAGGTATTTGATAACATATAGACCAAAGAGAAAAGGTTCAGTAAACATGGAGCTGCTACGCATCAGGATTCCTGCAACAGCCGCTGCAAAATACTTGACTTCCCAAGGGTTGCCTGTGTCTAATTATTATCCTGGAGAAGCTCCCAAATACCAATTTTTTCCAAGTGATTCTTTCCTGGAAGGGTAGAGTTTCTGTGAGTAGAAGACAGAAGGAGTTATTATCCAAAAAGGGTCCATCTGGCTATATCTTTAAGGACTCGCTTGGGACTCCTACAGAAAAGAGGGGTTTCTCCATCTGTTTTAAAAAAAAATAAATTCATTTTAATGACTTGCTGGAAATGTTTTATGTAAACTCCAGAAAAAATACAAAAGTTGAAAGGGACTAGAATTTGGTTTGCCACCCAAAATCTCATTCATCCCAAAACAACTTCCCTCAACATAAATCCTCTTGAGAAATCATGAAATCATGGAATAGTTTGGGTTGGAAGGGACCTTTAAAGGTCATCTAGTCCAACTTCCCCTGCAATGAGCAGGGGCATCTTCAACTAGATCAGGTTGCTCAGAGCCTTGTCCAATGTGACCTTGAATGTTTCCAGGGATGGGGCATCTACCACCTCTCTGGGCAACCTGGGCAATCCAGTGTTTCAGCACCCTTATTGTAAAAAATCTCTTCCTTTTATCTAGTCTAAATCTTCCCTTTTTTGGTTTAAAGCCATTACCCCTTGTCCTGTTACAGGAGGAGAGAGGTAGCATCTCTTCCTCACTTTATCTTGATTCAAGAGGAGAATTCAATGGGTGCAATGGGGTGTTGAAGGGAAATGCAGACAATTGTTAACGCAATTGAAAAGTGTTTGGGGCATCTAGGATCAATTCAAAGCTCCACTGGAGATTTCCTGGGTAAAGAAAGGCAATCCACTTAATCTCCCTATGACTCAGTTTCTTGTCCACAGACTAGGGAAAACGGATGGTATTGTAAGAACATATGCACTAAAGATTGCTCAAATCATTAAAGGGGTGATAGAGAGAGATTTTTCAGGAATACTGCCACCCCTACACAGGTTCTGAGGCATTTTAGCCAGCACTACAGAATGTTACTCCCTTGTCCAATCCAGTGTACTGCCTGCAAAAAGGACAAGAAAGGGACCAGTGTTAAAACAAACCAGATTTACGAGGTGTGGTAAATAAGTGTGGGATGGGATGGGATGGGATGGGATGGGATGGGATGGGATGGGATGGGATGGGATGGGATTGCATGGTAAAAAAGTACTGATTTACCAGCGATTCTCAAATTTCTTTGGCAGTGGAGCCTATATACACTTCCTCACAGCATGCAGCCACCCCTATAGCACATACGTAGCGACTGCCAACAGACTTGTTTTTCACATATCCCTTGGTTTCAGTCGGCGGCTCCCTCCCTCCCTCCCAGGGACCGCAGCTCCCAGGACTCCTGCGAGACCCTCCCTCCCCAGCCTGCTGGAAGGAAACTTTTCCTTCCTTCTCCCGTTCCTGCCGGCTGCCTTGGGGCTTTTCCCGCAGCCGAGGGGACGCGGGGGGATGCGGGGAGCCGCGGTGCTCCGGCTCTTCTCCCCCTCCCCTGCCCCCCCCCCGGAGCGCCCTCCAGCCCGACAGTCGCCTCCTTCCCCTCCCCGCTCGCCCCTCTGGACCAGGAGGCTGGGCATCCGCAGCCTTCGCAGCGCCCCAGCGACCTGTCTTCACGCCACCCAGGAGATGGGTTTCTCCTCCTCTTTTCTCTTTTCAAGCGCTTGGGTGAAGCCCCTTGAACTTCCCCAGGTCTTGCACCCCCCACAACTCCTCTACGCCCTCCCTGGGACATTTTTTAGGGGCGAGGGTGCACCACGGTGCTATTGATGCTCATCTCGCCATTCCAGAGCAGATCGGCTTCTTCGACCTCTAGTTATGTGGTAACGAGGGGAAAATTTCCTGAAATTAAGACTACCGCAGGAACTCTGGTTTTAGTCACAGCTGTCATCCGAGAAACAAATTTCCAGGCATTTTTAATCTAATTCCCTTAATTTTTATGTAACTGGATTAGAAAATGTGATTAAGCATCGCAGAATCGAGCCTGCCTTTTAGTGAAACATGAAACAGAGGGAGAAACTTATTAGAAGTAAGAAGAAATGGTGAAATCGTCTGTATGGATTTGGTACAATCGTTACTTACTGAGTAGGAGGATTAGAGGCACAAAAGCTCAAGGGCCGGGGCGGG